TAATCTATGTGTTTCCTTCAGTTCCTCGGGTCCTTCTGAAAATCAAGCAGGACAAGGTGAGTGTTATCCTTATAGTGCTGGCGTGGCCACACCAACACTGCTTCGGCATGCTGCTACACATGTCAGTAGTGCTTCTGCTACTCTCCTACTCCGCACAGATCTGATCTCGCAAGACCACGGATGTTTACTCCACATGAACCTCGTGGCCCTTCATCTGACTGTGTGAAAGCTCCATAGTTGAACCCGGAGGAACAAGCTTGTTCAGAACAAGACCACCGGGTCTTGCTAGGTAGTAGAAAGCCATCTACTAGTGCTACCTACCTGACCTAGGGGAAGCATTTCTGTATATGGTCTTCCCAACAAAGTCTGTCTCTTACTTAGTCTTCCCTTCAATCTATACAGCAATACCTGCTCCACCTAAAATAGCAAGAGCTGGCCCTTGCATCTATCAAGGTACACCTAACGGTGATCTCAGCCTTTCACCTGCCAGTGAGTGGTAGGTCAGTTTTCTCACACAAGATGTCCATCCGCTTTCTTAAAGGGTTAGAGACAGGGCCGGTGCATCCACTAGGCAAACTAGGCAGCTGCCGAGGGCGCCAAAAAGCGGTGCCCAAAATGTTGGGGATGCTCACCTGGCGCCGGCTAAATGTGTAACCCTCTTTCCGCCGCTGTGCAAGGGGGCGCTGCAGCTTTGAGCAGCTCCAGCCGGCTGGGAAGTGATGTTATTTCTCCTCCGGCCGCCAGGGGCGCTGCGATGCTCCCTGCTGCTCTGGCTCTTCCCCAGGGCCCTGCCCCTGCTCAGCCCCGCCATGCCCCCACTCCCCTGAGCTCTGCAGCAGGGCCGGGGCTGCACTCACCGGCGGCAGGAAGTACAGAGACCCGGCCCCAGCCGCGCCGCCAGTGAGTGCTGGGGGGTGGTTCCCCCCTGCCCCCCAAGCCAGCCCCGACCACCCGGAGGCCTGCCCCCCCAAGGAAGCCGCGCCCCCCTCCACGGAAGCCGCCCCCCCCCGCTCCCGCCTCCCCCATGGAGGCCTGGGGCATCCCCCCCCGCAGGGGGGCTGCTTAGGGCCCCAGAATATCTAGGGACGGCCCTGGTACCCGCCACCCTGCCCTCAGCCAGCCCCACACCCCTGCCCTGCCTGCAGCCAGCCCCGCACCCCCACCTCCATCCAACCCCTGCAGCACCCCCCTCCCTGAAGCCAGCCAACCCTGCACCCCATCTCCAACCAGCTCCGCATCCCCTGCCCTGCCTGAAGCCAGCCAGCCCCGCACCCCCCTTTCTCCAGCCAGCCCCTGCCGCACCCCCGTACCCAAAGCCAGACAGCCCCACACCCCCGTCTCCAGCCAACCCCGCACCCCATCTCCAACCAGCTCCGCATCCCCTGCCCTGCCCGAAGCCAGCCAGCCCCGCACCACCCTGTCTCCAGCCAGCCCCTGCTGCACCCCTGTGCCCGAAGCCAGCCAGCCCCACACCCCCATCTCCAACCAGCTCCGCATCCCCTGCCCTGCCCGAAGCCAGCCAGCCCCGCACCCCCGTCTCCAGCCAACCCCTGCCGCACCCCCATGCCCGAAGCCAGCCAGCCCCACACCCTGTCAGGTTATTCATTTATTTTCATTAAATATGTAGTCTAAATAATGAAATTAATAAATTTTCAAGCCGAATATATATTCATTCTAATTAACAATGCCATATTATGCAGTATTCATTTTTGAAAGTTTATAATAAGCGATGCTCTGGGGGGGAGGGAGGCGCAGGGTGGAAGGTTTGCCTAGGGCGCAAAATATCCTTGCCCTGGCCCTGGTTAGAGAGACTTTACCCTGAGACTTGCGAGCTGATTCTAACCTGGGATTTAAACCTGGTCCTGTCAAGAGTCAGGGGCCCTCCCTTTAAGCCACTAACATCACGTCCTCTGCTGTTTCTCTCCTGGAAGGTCGCCTTCCTGATAGTGATTACCTCAACCAGAAGGGTCTCGGAAATCGGGGCCCTTATGTCAGAACCACCACACACACTGTTCTTTAAGGACAAGATTCAGCTATGTCCCCACTTGGCCTTCCTTATAAAGGTGGTTTCACAGTCCCATAGTAACCAAGCTATTTTCCTGCCAGTTTTCTTCCCAAAGCCACATGGGAATTCAGAAGAGCCACAGCTTCACTCACTGGATGTCAGACATGCCCTAGTTTTCTACATTGAGAGGATTAAGCCGTTCCATAGATCTATGTAACTCCTTGTGGCAGTAGCAGAAAGGATGAAAGTCCTGCTGGTTTCAGCCCCGAGAATCTTATCCTGGATAGCCTCCTGTATTCGAGCTGCTACGAGCAGGTGGACATTCCACCTCCTGCTGTCTTGACCGCTCATTCGACAAAAACTCAGGCCTCATCAGCTGCGTTTCTGGCCCAGGTCCCAATTCAAGGTATCTGCTGGGCTGCAACCTAGTCATCAGTGCATACCTTTTCCTTCCACTATGCCATCACCCAGCATACCTTCTCCTTCCACTATGCCATCACGCCAGGTTTGGCAGAGCAGTGTTGTAATATGCATGTCCATGAACTCCTAGGCCACCTCCTTGGGTACTGCTTGTGAGTCATCTAAGGTGGAATGGACATGAGCAAGCACTCAAAGAAGAAAAAACAGTTACTACCCTTTCCGTAACTGTTATTCTTTGAGATGTGTTGCTTATGTCCATTCCATGACCCACCGTCCTATCCCTCTGTTGGAGTTAGCCGGCAAGAAGAAATTGAGACAGTACAGGGCCAGCAGGGCCCATTATACTGACGCATAAGCGTGTGGCACCAGAGGGAGCTAGAGCAGGCCAGGCGGATACCACTGAGGGAAAAATCTCTGGCAACGATGCACATGGCACGTGCACTCCTAATGTAGAATGGACATGAGCAACACATCTCGAACAACAACAGTTACAGAAAGGTTAGTAACTGTTTCTTTTTAATCATGTCAATAACAAATATGGGAAACATACTAATTGTCAAACTGGTTCAGTCCCGTGGCCCATCTAGTCCAGTATCCTGACTCCAACAAGAGCCAATACCAGTGCTTCAGAGGAAGTTACAAGAAACCTCACATTAGGCCTAATAATCAGCCCCTCCCAATAGGTCTCATCTTGATCTCCAGTAGCTAGAGATGGGACTAAACCTTGAAGTCTGAGGTTTTTTTTAATCTCTTCCAGAATTAGTTTGCATTAACTATTATGACTCTAATATTCTTTTTAGCCATATAAATGTCCAATCCCTTTTTTAATCTTGTTAAATTTTTGGCCCCAATGACATCCTGTGACAGAGTTCCACAGTTTCAATATATAGTGTATGAAAATGTATTTCCTTTAATTGATTTTGAATTTGCCACCTTTTAATTTCATTGACACTCCCTAGTCTACCTTCTCTAGACCATTCATTATTTTATATATTTTTATCATGTCCCTTCATATTCATTTCCTTTCAAAGGTAAACAATCACAGTCTTTAATTCTCTCCTCACATGAAAGATTTTCCATGCGGTGGATCATGGGTGGCAGGTGGACCCCCACTTCGGGGAGGCTAGCCCCATGGCCCCACCCCTTCCATACGAGGCCGAGCCCCCCACACCTCTCTCCCATGTCCGGAGAAGCCCCTGGCCAGCAGGAACCCTGAGCCCTCATCACCCCCGCTACCAGAAGTGCCCCAGGTCAGCCCCAGCCGACTGACCGACCAACCCAAGCCCTAGCCAGAGCAGACTCAGCCGACCAACTGACCCGAGCCTCGGCCGGAGCAGACCCAGCTGCAACGGCTGGCCCAGGGCCAGAGCAGCCCCAGCCCAGCCTCCCATGGCAGCGGCTGCTTCCAAGGAAGGCAGACCCTTCCCTGGCCTATTATACCCGCCGCCCATGCCCTTGATCTTTCTTGTCACCCTTCTCTGAACCTCCTTTAGTTCTGCAAAATATTTTTTGAGATGGAGTGACCAGTAGTATACGCAGAATCCAGATGAGGCTGCACCACTTATTTGTATAATGGCACTATAATATTTTGCATATTTTTCTCCCATCTGTTCCTATGTAGCCTAACATCTTATTTGCCTTATTGACTGCAGCTACCTTCTCTAGACCATTCATTATTTTATATATTTCTATCATGTTCCCTCTTATTCATTTTCCTTTCTAAGATAAACAATTTTTATCATTGCAAAAGGTTAATAGCAGGGTGACTCAATGTTCCCTGTTAAGTCCTATTTAGTTTAATATATTTAATTATCTAGAGGGAGGGAGATGAGTGGTATGAGCAGTGAGGTAGAAAAGTTTGCAGATGACTAACCTAAATAATTGTGTCAAATCCAGAGAAGACTCAGGAACTTCAGAAGGCTTTAACCAAGCTAAGTGAATGGGCAACACAATAGTAAATTAAATTAATTATTTATAAATGCAAAACAATGCACATTGGGGAGTTAAAAATTAAACTACTCATACACCTCACCGTTATAAATTAACTATATCAACTCAGGAAAGTGACTTGGGCATCACTATGGACAGCTCAGTGTGCAGCACTGACACACTCTTAAGAGAATAAAGAAATTGTTATTAGCAAGCAGTTACAGTCAAGAGCTCTCCATTTTTGGCATTGAACAAGTTTAGGCACCAGCCAGGATGCAATCTAATCCTGGCATAGCTCTATTTTCATATTGATTTAGTCATTAAAATACATGAGTGTAAACAATGGAAGCTATTTGGAATTTTGCATCACATTATTTACATTACCAAATGGTTCTTTAAGAGAAAATGTCTGAGAAGTAGCTTTATACGTGGATTGTTTTGGGTTATTTAAAACTATGGAGATGGAAGATTATCTCACATTGCCCTGAATCGTTGTACAGTTGTAAATCTTGTGAAATAAACTTGGATTAAAAATAATTCAGGATGAATAGTAAACTGGCAAGCATAAGTATAGTTACATACAAAAATAAGCTTTTATTTCCATAAGCTACAACTGAATATTTCCTTGTTCATTGAACTCCTCCAGGTCACAGAGCTGAATACATGACCACAAGGTAAGATTTTTTTTTTACCTCTTTTGTGTTGTAGGGCGCTACAAAGTTTCAAAAATCATCTATATGAAGAATGTGATGACTTTGAAACATGAGTATTGTTAAATAAATTGTATAGAAGCATACTTGCACCACACATTCTAGCATCTAACTAAGCTAATGCTGTGACTTTAAATTGATGAAGGACTGGCTTGTCCATCTTTTTCTGGAATTATAAAGTACTTTTGTGAACTGTTTGGTCAATGTCAAGTACCGTGAAGAGAAGAGAAGCCTTCATAAAATCTCATAAAGTTGAAACACATCAATGTAAAAGTTAATTTTTTGCTTTGGTGAATAGGAATGAAATCTTTTTTAACATTTCTGCACTCTTATGTTGTAATGCAATGTTCCAAATTGTCACTTTTGCAAGATAGCTCTTCTCAGGCATAGTTTCTACTGCTACCAAAGCACTACTGTGGAAACAGAAGTTTTAGGGGAGAAGGATTTCTTTAAAGATTACTGGAAATTACTTTTAATTAATACATCAGCCCAGAGTCTCACCACCATTTTTTTTTACGTTTTGAAGTAATTTTTTTCCTAACTTTTAAAAAAAGGTTTTCTTTCTTCTATTGGTGCCTGAAAGAGCCATAGAAACAAGGGAACCTGACTGGCTATATAGGGACACTAACTACACACTGAGTACTGTCAAGTTCACAAAATAAATTGTGAATTAGAGAAGAATACTTATTTCAGTAATCTCTTTTGGTTCTAGTCATCCCATGTGTTACATGTAACAATACTATGTAAACATTTATCAGACAAAAGTGCATCATGGGTTTTTTATGTTGATGTTATTCCTTTAATTCCTCTAGCTAAATTGCAATGTATTTTGTTTCTTGTGAAAAGAAATTGTCAGTATGAATGTGAGAGGCTAATCTGTTTAACAATTACTGGCTCCAGATAAAAATGTCCATGAATTGTTTTTTGAAGTGCCTGAGGAAAATAATGCCTAGCTTTAATTTTCATTTGAAGTTTCTCCACCATGAGACAACTTCTCTGCTTAATAAAATAGGTGCTTAGAATGTTGGTGTGTCATGCTGTGGTTGGCAGGATGGATTTCCGTTCCTGCTGCACATTTTGTGGATGATAATACAAAATAAAACCATTCCAATCATACACTTTTGGGGGAGTGTACAATAAAACTTTAAAAGAGGATTTGTAAGGAATGTCAGAATTATCAGTGAGGCGTTTCTTTTTAGCAGAATTTTTCCTCTCTTTATTATGTTACACTTAAATCTCGTGAAATGTCTGTTTGACAAGTACTGTTTTTGTTTTCCTTTTTTTCTCTTAAAATGTTTTATTACTTTGCCACGAGCTTACAGATATTTTATTGTATGACTTAATTCTACCTTGCTCAGTAATCATATTCCCTTCCCTTAGACCTCCAAACCTTCCCCCTAAACCCCAGAAACACAGGAAGCCCAGACCCTGATCACATATAATGCTAAGTTGTTTAATGGTGATTCGGAATCATTTATCAAGGTACTGACACCAGCTCTCTGGGTGGCTGATCTCAACACTTCTTGCTGTAATGGTCAAAACCTCATGTAAACTGAGGCAGATCATGATGTTCAAATCTGTCTTGGGGCTCTTGCCCAGCTGATCGATATAATACTTCCTAAAGTCCGAGGGAAACAGAAGAATACAATATTCACATTGAACTTCCTTACAATTTATTTAATCCAAGTATGGATGGTAGTGGCAGCCTGGTTTTGGTAAGGAATTTCCAGTTCATTAAAAGATAACGTTTAATCTTATATCCCACAATCTGACATTATTTCCTACTAGCAGGTTTAGTCACTTTAAATAAATCAGAACCCTATGTACAACCAATAGTACACTGGGTCTGAAATCCAGGTTTTCATTTCCCATGACTTCAGGAATTCATTATATTGTGTGAAATTGTGAGAAGCGTACTTCTGTATCTTGTATTTTTGCTGTATTTACTATCTTCTTCTTTTTCTTACTTTATTTCTAATAATGCTTCTAGCCGAGGACGAAGGAACTCTCACACCAGACACCAGGTATAGTTCAAGTGAAAAAGCTGACTTCCTCACTAACGAGTTGCATTCATGCCTGACTTTAAATTAGTTTTCCAGTTGACCTTATAGGGGAGGTTTGCATTAAGAAATTAGATTGTTTCATAACTCAATTTTGGCTGCCATAGTTCTCCTAGAGAATGACTATGGAGAGATGAACTATAAATTTACAGCTATTCCCTTATCCATTAGCAAGCACTTGCTCCCCACAATGTCCTGTGTTGAATGGGAATAAAACTTCAAGTGAACTCTAGTAGTAAGGTTTAGGTAATCAATTTACAAATTTTAAGAATGTTTTTCAAAATGATAACTCCTGGAAACTCAGCCTGGGATCTGAGAGTTAAGATGGGTTGTTTTCTTCTTGTACATCATCACTGGTAGTAAATATTTTGCAGGACAAATTCCACCCTCAATGGCACAAATATGATCCCACTGTCTTCAAATTGAGCTTTCAGTGACACCTACGCAACTGCACTGAAGGCTAATGGTATTACATAGATGTCATTTTGAGATATAAAGACATAATAGTAAATCATAGCACTGGGCAAAACATAAACATCATTATCCTCAATTATCTGTGCAAAGATACAAATACACCTCTACCCCGATATAACGCTGTCCTCGGGAGCCAAAAAATCTTACTGTGTTATAGGTGAAACCGTTATATTGAACTTGCTTTGATCCGCCGGAGTGCGCAGCCCGCCCCACCCCCACCCCCCCCGGAGCACTGCTTTACTGCATTATATCCGAATTCATGTTATATCGGGTCGCGTTATATCTGGGTAGAGGTGTAAAACAAAAATTAACACCCCCAGATTAAAAAAATAAAAAGTATTGCCTTCCAGCACAATCCAGATCTTGGAACAGGCACTATGAGACAAGCTGGGTGAGAGCTCAGCCACAAGGAGAGAGGCTGTTCCCCTGCATGTCCAGTCTTAAAAAAAGAGGTAGCCTAATGACCGATTCAATAAGGCCGGGGAAAGGGCCTCTAGTCCAAGAATGAGCTTTGTATGGAAAGGATGAGTCATTTTGACTAGCCCCACAACAGGATTACAGCTAGAAAAAATGGCTCATTAGTACATAACTGCTTTAACAAGATGTGCTCATCGGTCCGAAATACGTGCTTGTTAATAGCAAATATTTGATCTGAATTAATGGCAGAGTAAGGGGTCAGTCTTGGTGACATCTAGCAAAAGCAGATTCCTTCCTCAAAAGATTTTTTTCCACCAATGGATCAAAAATCTATGGCCTGTTACTTTTGATTAGCAATGAGCTGGACAAATTTGAAAACTAAGACTGAATGAATGTTTTAGTGTTGTGAGGCTACTCCTAAAACAAGCATTAAAATAGTCATGTTTACTCTGGTAATTTCTTACTGCAAACAGTACCCTTTTAGCAACTTTACATTCCTTGTATAGATAAGTATGCTAGCAGTAGATGTGATATATGTGTTCTAATATTTTGCTGTTTTGTACGGACAGCCCAGTATTTATTGGTTTTTAATTGTAGTATTACTAGGTTAACTGTGCAAATCTTGTGCAAATTAATTTATCTGAATGAATCGCTACACAACCTGAAATGTAAATTTTGGTGTAATTATTATTGTTGGTTCTTAGCCATAACCTTCTCTTTGTCTTTTTATTTTAAATAAAATTCTAAAATTTACATTATTTAAAGTAGAATAGTTACTGGAATTATGATAAATAACCCCATTAAAGCATTATAATGTTGCACACCAAAGCAATAGTTAGGTTGTCTCAGCAATTCCATTGTAGATTTTTTTCCCCCAAACATATAAGAATATATATATATTTGCCCATTGTCTTCCAGTAAAAAACTAGACACACAAATTGCAGAAGCATGGCATATAGAATCTTTGCCTGGGCTTAATTCTTAGCTCTCCCTTCTTTACTTCTAATTTAGTTTAACATGAAACTAAAGGACTACTTTATAAGAAGAAGAAAAAAGGTTGTGTATTTTGAGTGACAGAGTTTTTATTTGTTTTCTTTGTGGTTTTGTAACTCAATCTGTTTTATATTAAATTTTGAAATAAATTAGTTCATACCTGAGATTCATTTTTCTAAAAATATTGTAGCCACCAAATAATGATTTTTGAAGGTACCTTTTGGTTATGAAAAAAGTTTATTTTTCAAGCATAAGCAGTAACTATTTTTAACCATATATGGTTCATGTCCTCAGTGCAATATTTGATGACTCCTTTAGAGTCCTTAATCTCCATTGGGTAAATAGTATCCTATTTTTAAAATGCCAAAATACAGAGCCCAGCAAACAGTAAACACTCTCTTGGATCTGATCCTTTTGACACCAGCAGACCTTGCATAGGGCATGAACAACGCTCCTCCATCTCTGTCTCTCATGCTGTTTGCCGGAATGGCTACCTTTTTGTGTTTTTGTAACTTTTTTACAAGACCAGGTTGAGCCTGTGGAGGACAGACAGGCTGTTTTTTGTTTGGTCCCTACCCTTACACCTATCCAGTTTGGGTGACCCTACCAGGAGTTAAAACTCCCACCAGCAAAGCACTCGGGGTCATTGAAACACACATGCCTTCCCACCATGTTAAATCCCCAGGGAAGGAATTCTTTTGGATAATCAGTGGTTTGAAAAATAGTCAAGTTAAACTTAAACTTCACTGATCTAGAATCTGTGCATATTCAAATACTTCCTGTTCCCTCCCACTGATTATTTTTTTAAATGGTCATATTTAATATAAATCAAAAAACCCTATATTTAGCTAAAGCCATGTTTGTGATTCAAGCACCGAAGGCAAGACATTTTAGAAATACAGGTTCTGATCCTGCACACAGATCCATACTGTTGCTTACTCTTATTCAGAATCCCACTGAAAAGAACTTTGGGATCAAGCCCAAATTTCTTACCCTCCCTTTCAGGCTGTATCGCAAATTGAGGGGTAGGTTCTAACTGACACCGAAAACAGCCATAATGGATCCCCACACAGGAGAACACATGCTTCTAAAGCTGCATTAATGTGTGTCTGTATTCTGGCTGAGACCCAGCCCTGTACACAAGCTCCTCAAACAACTTAGTCCTGCTAAGGGTAGGAATACACTGTACAGATAGCTGTCGGTGGTAGTAATTCCCAGGTCAGGAAGTAGACAGCATACCATCCCATGCTGTCCACTTGGTGGCTCTTACTACAGACAGCCTTGGAGCAGCAGTGCTTCTGACACCTCGGAGCCAGAATAGGGGCCACTAACTTCCTTTCCCTGGCCTTTCAGGCCTGGCCATATGAGCAAGCATCTGCAATAATTTGGCCACAGGGTATATAAAATTCACTCCAGCTACTAATGGAAAAATAAGCTAAATTAATGCACATGCTTCATTTTCATACCATGATAATTAATGTTAATTGTATATTTAAAAGGAAATTCATTGTTTAACTCATTTTGCTTCAAGAGTCTAAAATAACTGCATGAAATGAGGTTTCATATGTGTTAAGATAACCACATGCAATGAGATAAATTGAGGATAAAATTTCAGCCATTACTTAGAATTTCTTTGATTTGATGATTTGCATAATAACCCTAATATAACTTTTTTAGCCTCCTGGCAAAAGTGGGGAGATAATTTTGTTTGGAAGGAGTTGTTTTAATCAACACTACTGAGTCAATCTTGAATTATCAATAAAACCCATTTTCACACGTGATCTAACTTCTGTTTCTTTCAGTTTGTGATTATATTCTTTTTACTTTTGCCAGGATTCAGGACAAGTCATTCCCCTCATAGTGGAAAGCTGTATCAGATTTATCAACTTATATGGTAAGCTCTGAAATATGTCATGTCACTTCATTAGCACCCTGGCTATTTTGCATAAAGTATATTTTGCGTAATGATTTTACCCCCTCATGTTTGTCATTTACTTGTTAAAAAATAGATTAAGTCTTTAGCATATGATCTCATTGCTCATCTTTTCTTCCCCTACCCTTCAGGTCTTCAGCATCAGGGAATTTTCAGAGTGTCTGGTTCCCAGGTGGAAGTCAATGATATTAAAAATTCATTTGAGAGAGGTAATTGAATTTTCGTCTATATGAGCAACCTGAGATCCATCTCTTGAAAAAAAAAAAAATCTGTTACAATTTGATAATTTTCTTGGATATTTAAGCAATTTTATGTACTGTATTCCCTGTACTTCAAGCTTTGCCTAACCATATATTTACTTGCCCGGTATAGTAATGACTCTTTCAGCGTTTTCACTTTATTCTGCCGCTAAGCACATAAGATTATATTTTGCTATACAAGTACACAAGATTTGTGGCCCTTGCACTGTCTATAAAAAATTTTATTTTACCAGTGGTGAACAGCAAAGGATGACTTGTTTGTCTTTCCTGTTTTTATTATCTTTAAGGTTCCCATAAGAAGCAAAAATATTAAATGGATAATCAGACCATATTTAACACAATTTGAGACCACTGTTACTAGGTCTTGCAGAATGAGTGCTGGACTTTCTGGTCCCTCTGCCAAAGTGACATCACAGCCAATACAAACATAGGTTGAAAGAGTCGTTCCATTTGAAACCTCTATTTTCATTCCTAAGGCAATTTCATCCCAGAGGATAATTTATGAGGAAGATGTGAGAGAATGAACAGAGGGTTTAAATGTAATTGTCTTTCAACCTATGGTAAGTCTGTGTGTGTTGTGATGTCACTCACTGTGGCAGAGGAACCGTGATCTGAAGGAGCGAGCAATTCTCAGATTGTGTTAAAGCATAGTGTTAATTACATTATTCTAAAAAAAAAAACCAGCTAAATCATCTCTTTTGGGATTTTACAAACCATTTTTTAATTTCTAGCATAACCTTTGCAGATCACCTTTTAATAAGAGGAACCCTTGGAGGAAAATCTGTCTTGTGACTAACAGCAAGAAGAAAGAGTAGATGATATTTTCACTCTCCAATATTAACTGCATACCTTGTAAAATCAGATATGATACTTGAGCAGATATGTGCAGTAACTGTTTTTATATGATAAATGATGCAGCATCCTTATATCTGAGGACATTAATGGATTGTTATTGTCTATCTTTAAAGTCCACTTTATTAAAATGGAAATTGTTTCGCTACAGAAATGTTCTCGAGGTCATATAATATCATTAAAGCTAAAAATGTTTTAACATCCAGTTTAGTCTTTTAAATGATGCAGTATTTTGTTGTGAGTTTTAGTGGTTTCGATTCTGTACATTGTACTCATACAACTGCATTATGCACATCTTCTTGAGTTTCTGTGAATGCTTTTTCAATCCAAAGAGAGATGTGCAGCTCAAATAAATCTCTTAGTTTTATATGTTCTATATAAGCTGCCTAGGAATAGTCCTAAAAGTCCTATTTCACTAAGAATGATCGCATTCTTTATTTCACTAATTGCAAATCATAATCTGTCCCAAAATATTCATTCTGAACTTCATGATCTATGGGATCATTGGGTTACATAATTTAAAGAAAGATTTATTTCAGGCAGGGTTATTTTATTTTTTTCAGTTTAATCATGGGGCGGGATTTCTAAACCAGTGTTTATTATTTTATTACCGTGCAACATCCCACACAGTCAAATCAAATCTTCATTTATTTATATGAAATACTATTAAGCAAGAATGCCTGTACATGTTTCATTTACTCTACTTATTTTTAAGGTGAAAATCCTTTGGCAGATGACCAAAGTAACCATGACATTAACTCAGTTGCTGGAGTACTGAAGCTCTATTTCCGAGGGCTGGAAAATCCTGTCTTTCCTAAGGAAAGATTTAATGATCTTATTTCCTGTGTCAGTAAGTAAAAATTCCTATTTCATTCTCTATAGAATTACATGTTCATAAATACAGTAGCTGCCTAGAAAAAAAAAACGATTTCACTGATTTTTCTGAAACAATTTGTTTGCCATCTGCAACAGTGTGTGTCGATTATTAGTCATACTTACAGCTGATCCCTTTTTCCAGAAGGATCAATGTACAGTATAAGTCTTTGTTTTCAGTACAGCAGGAAGACAATCTTTCTTAGTATATGAGATATTTAAATTTACATACACTGCCATTTTCTTCTAATCTTTAGGGCAGAACAAGGGAATGATGCCATCAGTGTGCCAAGAGAATGCATTACTTCTAGCAATGGTTTCACTCTCTGCTGTTGTCTCATGCAAATGGTGGTGAATAACTATTTAATGACCCAACAGTGTACAATTCTGAGCACCACCTGTGAGATGCTTAGTGCTCTCAATTTCCATTTGCTTTTCGGGGAGTTGGGATACCTCAGCCCTTTGCAGGATCAGGACCTTAGTAGGATAATAGTTCGTATTTTAGCTGGGAATTGGTCCTGCTTTGAGCAGGGAGTTGGACTAGATGACCTCCTGGGGTCCCTTCCAACCCTGATATTCTATGATTCTATGATTCCAGGTGATGTTCTTGCCACTGTACACTAGGTAAAGGGAGGAAAGCAGTATAAAAGGGCTCAAAAAGCCTAGAACCTGCTGATGAAAAATTCCCTCAGCACAGGAACTGAGACAGATGACTTCTTCACAACTCCCAACATGAAAAGCATGCCATCATGGGGCTGGAGTGGGAGGAGGTGGGACCGCAACACCTAATGCTGCAAAACGTCTGGGCAGTACTGTTGCCCATAGGCAGGCAGGGACAGGTTACTGTAATTTAGGCAACCTTCGATGGCTGTCCAAGTTACACTGGGATACCCTATGGCCCTGGGACAGCCCAGAATCAACAGGGCACAAAACGTGGCTTTGTGAGTTCCATAGTTAAGGTCCAGCTCTTGTGGAAAACTTTCCAGCTGAATGTAAGTGTTATGAAGGGGGAGAGGCAATCTCATAGGTAGTTACGTTCAATCCCGGGGGGGATTAATTAGGACAGGCACCTTGAACTAGACTATCGAGTCAGTGAGGAGCCAGCCCAACATTCAGAACTCCAGGGTGATGTGTTCAGGTGCCCTGTGTTGCTCAGCAAATGGGCAGTTGTGCTTTGTACTATGTGGAGCTCAGTGTGTGGTTTCATTTCTAGATAGGATAAATGGCAGTAATCTAGCATGGAGGTTATTAGTGAGTGGATCACTGTGATAGCTCTGTCACTTAGGAGGGGGTGCAGTATTTTGGTCATGCTGAGATGGAGGTGGGCACATTTTTTCCACCATGACTATTTGAGTCTCCAGCACTACTGAGGGCCCCAAAACTGCAGACTAATTTAACAATCTGAGGAGAGTTTCCCCCAACAGAAGGAGATGTGAGAGAAGACAAATTCTATAAAGCATTTCATTCTTTCTATCAGCTGGTTCACCTTTAACCAGCTGCTCCTCACCCAAAAGCAAATGTCATGGAGTCAAAAATTTTAAGGTCAGAAGGGGGACCATTCTGATCATCTAGTCTGACTTCGGGCATAAAACTTAACCCAATAATTCCTGTATTGAGTCCAATAGCTTCTGGTTGAACTAAATAATAGATACTAGAAAAACATCCAATGTTGATTTAAAGACCTCAAATAATGGAGAATTTACTACATCACTTGGTAAACTGTTCAAATGGTTAATTGCCCTCATTGTTAAAAATTTGCACCTTATTTTCAGTCTAAATTTTTCTCATTTCAACTTCTACTCTTTAGATCTTGTTATGCCTTCATTATTTTGATTAAGCATTAAAACAGCTGGGAGATAGTGGTGTTTACATGTAGACCTGGGTAGGTCCATATACTGCTGGCACTTCAACTTATGTCATTTCACCAGCTCTCCCAATGGCTTTAAATAGATTTGAATAATATGGAGAAAGAAGATTGAGCCTTATAGCTCAAATGAGGACTTTGGAGATAGAAGAACAGTTGTCCAAAACAACCTGTTAGGTACTTTCCAAGAAGAGGAACCTGAACTGTTTAAAGTTCCTTTCCCTCCTTCCTTTCCTTCCTTCAGCTTTGGTGATTGATGGTAGAGGTCTGGCAGAATGAGTATAGATATGCGCCCCTTGTCAATAGAAAGGTCAGCTCCAGAGCAACACCATTTTGTGGCCTACAGCTTCACTGAGAGGGAACCAGGTTCATGTGGCACTGGAGACTGGCCTATCTTATCAGTCAGCTTATTTGAGAAAAGTGAGGCTGGGCATTGGGTGATAGTTTGTGGGGCTTCTAGCATCAATCAATGGTTTCTTTAGTATTACTACATGTCTTGCGGTAGGCAGTAAATTATCTTCCTGAAAGGAAGTGTTGACAATCTCTGTTATAGTACGGCTCCCAGAAGTTCCCTGTTGTCTCTTTCTATCCAGGAAGAGCAGAAATCAGAGTCACAGATGGTAACCCTGAATGATGTCACTCCTTTCCTTGGAAAGGGTGTATTGTGTTTCTGGTCCTGCTCTTGGCTAGTTCCTCTTGTAGTTTATGAGGCCATCTTGGATGTAGGTGACCTTCTTTGTGATAATTCCTCACAAAAAGAGGTACTGTGTCTTAGGGTTGAGTAGAGCCAGTCTGTATTTCCAAAATGATTTGGAGCCCAGAAAAGTTCTGCTGGGCTTCACTTTTCTGCCTCAGTGGCAAAGAAGAGGTAGGCTCTGTTTGCCTTTGTTATGGCAGTGGCATAGGTTTGTAGAAATTCTGTGTCTGCCACTGACTACTTTCAGTTATTTCTTTCACAAGTCAACTGAGAAAGATGACTGTCTGCATAGGTGGAGGGATTGAGAGAGGGTGCTTTGGTACTAGAATGTCTTTAGCAGTGTTCTAGAAGTGGCTGTAGGACATGGCTAATTCATCTTCTCCCTGGCTGGTTGGTTGGGTAGAGTTTTCTATAAGTAAGTTTTGGCAGGATCCAAGAGTTTTTCTGGGTAGATCATGGTGGTTTCATATTGTTTTGGAGTAGGCAGGGCCGGCGCTAGGCACAAGCAAAACAAGCTGGTGCTTGGGGCGGCACATTTTTAGGGGCGGCATGGCTGGCGCCAGAATGCTGCCCCTAAAAATGTGCCCTGGCCGCCCTAGCTCACCTCCGCTGCTGCCACCGCTCGCGCGCCGCTGTTCCCCCTCCCTCCCAGGCTCTCAAACCTGGGAGGGAGGGGGAGATCCCCAGCGGCC